TTTTTTTTAATTTTTATTCACTGCTTTTTGCTTTCTTTCCTTCACCAGCACTTTTACTGGATAGAGGTTGCTTGGTAAAATATCTATCCTAAGAGGTTTGGCTTTGCCTACTTTTTAAAATGTTTCTAAAATGACTTAGGCAAATGTCATTACTCCGAGCAGCAATACGGCCAGTGTGAATCTTTTTGGGATGTTTCTTTTCAATAAAATCAGTCACTTTCTGATAATATCTCAAGATTTCCTTTATCGAGCGAAATCCTTCCACAATGAAGCAAACACACAGACTGAGACCAATGAACAGAAGTGAATAAAAAATGGCGCTGCAAACTAATGTAACGTCATATAGTGAGTTTTTGTTCATATCGTGGAGCAAAAATATGTTCAAATTTCATGCCTGAAAATTTCGTATGCTGGGGTATTCGTATCCTGAGGTACGACTATATACCTGCTTTATCTTGAAGTGCATCTACAAGATGAAGGAACAATGTCTATTACTGTTTTTACAACTTGGATGTAATAAACAACTTCATTTAATTCAATTTTCCTTGACTTTGTATTAAGATGGTATTGCCCTTGTAGGATTACAGTTTGGATCTACCCTGGTCATATACCCATAAATTTTTGTAAAACTACATTGACATGTCTTTTCTTTTGCAACACATGCTAAAATATATGATTATAATATAATCATTTTAGATTTATAAAAAAAAAAAAAATTATACTGCATCATTTGAGACATACCTTCCATAAATCTTGACATTTAAATCTGGTATTTCCCGAAACACCATTTGTCAATGCTTTGGCTCTTGAATATAGTACTAACCAAGGATTCAATTCTATTCCTTCAGCCAACAATCCCCTCTTTGCTGCCTCTATTACCTAAAATTGACACATTATAATAGATTAAACAATTTTCACATTTAGATTTTGTTCTAGCTATTACCGAATAACTTAGATTTTTTAATTCTTACGATTCGTCCATCACCACTTCCCAAATCAACCAACTTTCCTTTTCTTCCATTAAGATGAGTAAAAACGAGATCTAATTGTCTTTTAGTCGCAGGAAGAAACGGGAGACAAACTCGACGAAAAGCGGGAAATAAGAACGGAAGGGATACTAAAGTTATACCAAAACCTACAAATCCAGTTAAACCAACCATAATTAAGCCACCCAAACGTTTCTCTGACATCACAAGATATATTGTAATACTTAATTTTAATAAATACTTTGATTAATTATTATATCTAAATTAGATAACATTTACAAAAACAAAAATCTACGTCGAGCACATGTACAGTACGCCACATGGTCATCGAACATAAACAAACTTTAGTTACTTCGATTACCACACGAAGGCGCTTTTGGATAGCATTTCTAAAAACATTAATTAAATTATATAAAACTTAAAAAATTTTCGTACCATTTATACTTATTAATATAACAAATATTATTATATTAAATACTATATTATTTTTAATATTTTAAAACTTTAATATAATTAAAATTGTCAAATAAATTGTCCCTTTAACAACGCTTAGGCCTTAATAGCAAGAGAGAAGGGGAATAACTTTTATTTTGTGTTTACAATTAGAAATAAATATGGTAAGTATGATTATAAACAATTATAATGTCCAATATTATATTTTTCTGAAATATGCACGTGTGAAATTAATGAATACTAGAGAAAAATTTATTTTAAATTAATCTTAGGAAAGTGTTTTATTTATCTGAAGAAATGGAAGATCACGTGTCTTTCTGAAATACCTTCTTATCACGTGACAGTGCTACACAATTATACAAATATTTATTCATTGTTTGAATCACTTTTTGTTTATTTACATTTTAAAAATACATACAAGCACACACACACACACAATCACACACACACACACACATACATATAGGGTGTTACAGACCACAAATCAAATACACTCTATTGAATAGTGATATTTTCAGCTTCAGTACTGGCCAGAAATGGACTATCCGGACTAAAATTCAAATTTTTTGGCTGATTTTAACTGTCATTCACTCAAAATGGTCAAATTGAGCACTCATGCTTTTTCACCTGTAATCAGATGACAGATCTATCTATTTGTGATAAAACGACTACTAATCTTAACACTGCATTTAGTAACAACAATCCACAAAACCTTTTTATAACAGTGTTGTGTCCTATAACAATCTTCAAAAACGTTTTCAACCTCCACCGAGGTCTGCTTCAGGTGGTGACTAAACGGTGTCTCCTCTTGACCGTTGGAACAATGATGCCTGAGATGTAAATAATGCACATATCATGTTTCACCCCTCCGCTTGTTCCAGTTTGAATTCTTCGAATAAGTATCTCCCCGCCTGCACGATCATTTCTCTGTTTTTAAAGTTGATGCAGGTGCCCCCAATGTTGGCTTTATAAATCTCCCAGACCTCCAAGTGATGGATGTGATCAATACGAAATGCCTGTGTGATTACTTTGATGTTTTGGAAGTCCACCCGAATTTCAGAGTTGGTAATGTAGGCCGACAAGGCGGTGGTGTGCCTGTTATTTTTAATATCCGATTGATGCTCACATAACAGTTTTTATGTTGAGCAGATGGTGGAGCCAATGTAAATTAAGTCTCTATGGAATCTATTGTCCCTGACTATCCATTCCCATCAGGGATGATAGATTCCATAGAGAGGTCGAAAACATTTGTGAAGATTGTTATAGGATACAACACTGTTATAAAAAGGTTTTGTGGATTGTTGCTATTTGTGATAAACCACAGTACTGCTACACAGACCTTTAACATGCAGTACAATTTTAATTCTTGAATGTTTCCTGCTGTGTTAAAATTTCAAATATTACTGTTTTTAGAACATCTAAAATTTAAACATGTGTGACAGACTTCTATCTAGATACTATGTAGAAAACTTGTTCCAGGAAATGTTCCAGCTTTTGTTCTTTTTAAATTGAAATTGATTTCTTTTTGCCCTGAAGAAGGTTGTTTAAGATGGCTGAAAATGTTTGAGAATTAAAATTGTACTGCATGTTAAAGGTCTGTGTAGTAGTAGTAGTACTGTGGTTTATTACAAGTGCAGTTTGCAGATAAGTACTTTTTGTGTTATAAAGAGATTGAATGAGAACTTCATTTCTGATTTCATTAGCCAAACATGAGAAATCATTTTGTGAGTGAGGAGTCTAATCAGAATAACACTTGTGCCACAATCTTTCAGTTACAGCAAATGTACCTTGACACTTGCCAAAAATTATCAGCTTATCATACACTTATTCATTTGAACAGAACATGGCTACATAGATTACTACGACACATTTTGAAGTGTATAAAGTGTGTAATTGAAAATGAAAATGTAAATACAAGCATAAAGTTTACATTTGTTGACACTGAATATTTAGCCAAGTGAAAAATAGTTCAATGAAATAGCTTCTAATAAGGCTTTGCTAAGAAAAGTTTATCACACTTTCAAGATCATTTTATGGTCAATAGAGCCATTTTCAGAAAAAATTGTCTTATTTTTTGGGTTTAATTTGAATTTAAATTAACAAATTCCATGTTCCATTTAAAAAATCTGACATATGACTGGATAGCCTATTTCCATCTACTTAATAAAAATTTGAAAATATTACCATTTAATAGATTGTATCTGATTAATTTTTAATTAAAAAAATTTTTAGGATATTTGGTTAAATTCACTTTCTTTTATTTTAAAAAGAGCTTATGGAATTCTTTGACACCCTATAAATTAATAAAATAAATAAAAGCAAAGACTCTCTTTTTTCTAAAAAGTTATAAAGAAATATTACTGTATAAAAGAATATTCTTACAATTTGAGATACTTTTATCATATAAATATTTAATATATATAGAATATTATGTATATTTAGATAAATGACATCATATAATCATATACTCTAAATTTTGAGTATATGCGCACACACTTACAGACACACACTTGCTGAAAAAAGATATAAGGACTTGAATACTCAACTTTTTAATAGTACTAGTCTGTATTCTTGTAGTGTTTCATTATGATACCAATCTAATAAATGTTTTTTAAGTTTAAACCTACTTTGTATATTATAAGAAAGTGCATATTTAAAATTATAATAAGTATCAAAATTAATTGTTAATATTGATTTATTACAAAAATTTTTAGTGTGATTAATATTAAAATACAAAGTTATGCATATATATATATACAATTTTATTTTCAGTTCATTCTTCTTTGACTATGGATTACTGTTGGTGTTTGTCAAATAGAAAAAAATATAGTACTTCTGTTTAATGAATGAAAGATTTTTATTTCTTAGTGAAAAGATGTGGTTTTGTATTGAACACAATAAATAATAACAAATTCCAGTCATAGATGGCAGTACTCTTCCAGTAACAATTTCAGAACATAATATTTTATTGAAAACAAGTAGATTTAATAATAATTATACATCAACTAAAAACTAAGTCAAAGCATTACTGAAAGATCAGTATAATAATGTAGCAAAAATTTAATAGAATCACTTTTTTAAAATAAAATATTTTTCTTATAATACTTTAAGGAAGATAGAATTTTTTTTTATAGGCAAATATGAATTTATTGGAGATGAAAAATAAAAAAATTATAGATATGAGTTTTGATGATACGAATGGTATTGGTCATACAGTAATCAGTTACATAATCTCATCTCCAATATTCACATCTGTCATTCATTATTTTCTGTTTCGTGTAATTAGGAAAACAAATGTGTGTGGATTATAAAGGATCCATTTTCCTTTTTAAAATAGATTTATGCCTTCTTTTTTCTGTTCTTTTCATATTGTTTACAAACATTTAATAGAAAATGAAGTAGGCTTTCAAATGTATATTTTGAAATTATGAAATAACACTCAGGTTTTAAGAAAACTGCAGTTGGGAAATAAGTGGATAGTGATTAATGGTAAAACAAATATATTTATTAATTTATGTGGCAACGTCTTTGCAAGTAGACATTCTTCGACTTTTATATATCAAACTTAAATAATAAATAGTGTTTTTGGATTTAACAAAGTTACAACGTGATTTTTATTGAAGCTATTTTATTTTATGGTTTGGAATTACTTTCTAACCATAAAAATAAGCAGTTTAATTAGAAAAATTAGAATTTAAAAATTATACTGCAATTGTTATATTTAACCTATATTTTTACATTATAGTCTAAATATATAGCAGTTGAATGACAGATAACACAAAAAACTTTGCAAACTAAAAATATCATAATGAAAATATTTAGTTAAACTATCTTGCACTATTCTATGTATGTACTGTACATGAAGAGAGTACAGCTATGACTATCTAATATAAACAGAACAGGAAATATGCCAGACAAGCAAATGTGCTAGATTTGGAAATCAAATCAAATAAAAATTTTTGTTTACAGTGTTGGCTTATTTAAATAAAATGTACACTCATACATAATTATTATTATACAATTAAATACTATAATACAGAAAAGTAGTTTGAGTATAAGATATCAATTTATTGTTTTACAAATCAGGAAATTGATATTTACTTCTCACTTTAACTTATCTATTTTGTTGCAATGTCCTAAGAACATTTCATACAAATGTTAAATATATATTCCATTGAATAAAATAGAATGTTAGATGACTAAATTTAAAAAGCCAAACTGATAAGTTCAGAAAATCAAAATTATTCTTTATTCATTAGCATTTTTGACACTACAAAAATTTAAAATTTATTATTCAGTTAAATTAATGAAATTAAATTTGCATTTTCCATTGTTCATTTATTTTCATTGCAAGCAATTGGTTTTAGGACAGTCAAAAACATTACTGAATAAAGAATAATTTTGGGTTCCTGAACTTAGCAGTATGAATGATTCTTTTAAATTACAATGTGATGCCAAGTTTCACACAATTTCAGAGTGTGTGATACTTTGAGACCTTTTTCTTATCAGAATTCTCTAACTTCTATTAAAATATAAAATTATATTTTAATAGAAGAAATTAAAAAGTAACATCTTCAAATTTTTTATACACAGAGGTTGACTTCATTGAAGTAATTTTGAAATGAATGAATGAATATAAAAATCATCATCAATTAAAACAAGACGGTACAAAAAAAATGGATCACATTCATCTGTTAATCAAATAATAAGCTCCTTTTTCAATGCAGGAGTATTCACAATAGCATTTTCTACTGTAATAAACAGCCAAATTTTTCTGCATAAAATGAATTATGCTGAATAGTCTCTATTTCTTTTCATAGGAACCATAGTGGTTTGAGCACTTGTTCCAGCATGTGATGAGATTAAACATTCTAAACCAGCAGAATGCCATTTCTTGCAAATAATGCTAATTTCAAACAGCTGCTATGATACCATCACCTAATTTGAACCTCTTCCCATCCAGACATTTTCTTTAGGAGACCAAGCAATGATGCTTTCAAAAACTTAGTACTCTTCTTGGTGATATCATTTCAAATGATCTAAACACATGATACTCTTGAAGTCAGTTGCGTGGGCATCCAATGAGCATTGATTTTTCTGTATCCAAACTTTCCATACATAATGTACAGATGTAGTAGGTAGAAGTTCAAATACTACTACCATATGGAGCTGTTATGAAAACTGTAAAGTTGTATTGAGTATTATGTTATAATGTGATTTGATATAATCACAGATATTCTGGAAAAAGAAATCATCAAAGTTTAAGATAAGAAAAGAACTCAGTGGACAAACTCAGTATATTGACTTTCATTATAGAACTAAATTTGTTTTGTCTAAGTTTGAACCAGATCATTTATTTGTTTTATCAGTGTTACTAATTATGAATATACTGAATAAATACTTCCAAAGCAAAGATCTAACTCTTGGTCAAATGAGTGAAGTAATAATGGGCACTGTTACTAGTTTTGAGAACAAAAAGTGATTCATCAGATCTCTGCAGTAAAGCATAAAATTTCTCTCAAATCTGTACAAATCTCAAAAAAATAAATAAATAATAAAATAATAATAATAAACTAACAGAAAAAAATGAATGTTTTCGTTATAGTAAACTGTCAATAAAGATAATTTGGTGGAGCTGCCATCAGGCATAATGCTTTACAATTATTGAAAAGTAAATGTTTATTGACAGACAATATTATTAGTAACTTAAAAATAGATTTGAATATTGACACTTTGATCCTTGAGGCTGAAGTAGTGATCATCAAGAATATTTTGAAAAACGAGCACGAGTTCAGTTTTAGAGAAACTGAAAGTAGAGGTCAAGGAAACTTCACTCTCAATTTCTGTAAGCTGTTGGCACTCCAGAAAAATTTCCTTGTAATAACACTATTGCATGTATATATATTTAATTTTAATCTATACTTCTTTTGTTGTGATTATCAAACTTAAAATATGTGTAATAATTATAACAGTCCAAGGGGGACACCAGTTAGTTCAGCACCTGAAGGCCTTGGTGGAGGCCAAAAACGTTAGTGGGTTTTGTGTCGAATGCAACACTGATAAAAAAGGTTTTGTTTGTGGACATTTATTACTCAATACAATGTTAATACTTAGAAAATGTTTATTTTGTGTTATATGTGTAATAGTCCTTATATTGGTTATGTTTATATTAATAACTAAATAATTAAACTTATATAGTTTAAACAATCACAAACAAAATCTTTTTTAACCAGTAATTGAACTAAAACGTTCGAAAGTTACATTTTAGTTCAATTGCTGGTTAAAAAAGGTTTCGTTTGTGATTGTTTATTTCTTTCCCACCCCAGTATTTCTGAGAAGAAGACTGTTCTTTTATAGTTTGTTGTTAAATGTTTGTTCTGTTTTGCACTAGCTACAGATTAATAATTATAAATAAATTACGTAATACTGTATTTGTAAATTATAATTTGATTTAATACAAAACTTAATTTTCAAGTATAATTTCATTTTGAAAAGTTCTTTTAATAACAAAAATTAAAATTTGATTTAAATTTTGTAGGCTCGTTTCTTTAGAGAACAAGATATTGATGGTAAGTTAAAAAAATCAAATATTTATATGTTTTTACATACATACTAATTTTATAAATGTGAAATAAAATGGAATCTAATTTAGATTTCTGTGAATTATACTTTTTTTCAATATTAACTAAAATAATTAAAATATTTACACTAATATTAATATATTACATAATTTATCATAGCGTTTAATTTAATGTAAGTAGTATATGTTTTTTAAACTTGCATACATATATTATTCTGAGTTAAATAATGCAAAATTATTGGCAGATTCAGAAATGAAATAAATGAAGCAATTGTTCTGTAAACTTCTATAAGTAAATAAATGTCTACAAAATATCTTTTATAGTTACATTATATATGTTTTTCAACTGTTATATTGTAAATAAACTCCAGGAACAAAATAATATTACTAATGCATGTGGTTGCATTAGAAATACAAGACTTCATTATTAGAAATAAATTTTTTACAAACACATTTATATGATTAATTAATAATAGAAAATATTTTTAGTAAATAGATTTACTGCCAATGTTGAAAATAATGCCTTTATTTTTGTAAAATCAAAGCATCATTTTTACAAAATTAAAATATTGCATTAATTTATAGTTTTTAAAATAATTTAAATTTAACTTCAGAATATTATAAGTTAAAAGAATTCTAAAATATTAAAAACACATTTGTTGTAATTAAGCTTATTGTATACAGTATGTACATCAACTCAGCAAGTTTTGCAAAATCTTGTAACTTTTTCCAGTTATAAAATAGCTTAAAAATATATAATTTTATAAGTTTTTTTTTTATTTGTAAAACATTTTATATTTATATTTTAGAAAAATATTTAAAGTAAAAAAAGTAATCTTAAGTGCAATAGAAAGTATTACTTTTTAATTTAATAAGTTTTGTTTATAAATCATAACTTTCAGATAAAACAAACATAGGTATTTAAAATATTATCATCAGTTATAATCATCAGCATACTGTTTTAAATAATATGAAAGATGCCAGATTAATTATTGTACTATAACTTTGCTAACATAATCCTACATTTAGGTTGATAGTTAATTGGGCTCTATCATTTGATTATTATTATGAGTTTGGTTTTCTATATATATTGCTACTGTTTTTATTTTTTATTATGAATAAAGGTCCTAGCTTGAATAAGCATGTAAAAAGTCCCCCAAATTAATTTAAATATTTTATATAGCATATGATTTACTATTATATTGGTACCATACCATTTATACCATAGTTTAGCAATTGTCAAGTCAACCCTTTTCATTTTATAGAAATCAAGGAAAATATGATTTTCAGTCTTTAATTTTCTTTCATTTTACAAACATTTTAAAAGATTTTTTAAAATAGGTGTATTTTTGTATTGATACATTATCATTTTACATCTAAATAAGTTTATTTTAGATTTTTTGGCACAAAATCCAAATTAAAAAAATTATAGTAATAATAAAATTTTGAATACATTTTTCTCATTGAAAATATGGCAATACTGTCTCCATTTTTTTTTTCCTGTAAATATGTTTCCAAGAGATTAAAAATTTAACAAAAATATATGTTTTTTAAGTGTGGATGCAATTAAGAAAATTAAAGGCCAGTTTTTTAATACAGTAGAGCCTCGAAAACTTGGCCTAATGTGAACCAAAGGGTGGCCGAGTTTGTGAAAATGCCGCGCTATCAGGAATAGGGTTAAAAAAGGATAAGTATGCGTGTTTCCTCACAAAATATTGTACTGTACTTGTATGTATTGTTTGCTTAAGAATACAACAGAGAATAAACTGCCCAAATACCCTTAAAGAAAGGAAAAGTACTGTACGTCCTTTATGAAGGCATAGAGCCTTTACTACATGAAAATGAAAATTAATGAATACACTGTGTACAGTAATTTACCTGATAAACCAGACCAANTGTTAGTTTTTCTAAAAGGAATATGAATTAAAAATTATTAAAACATTAATAGAAACATTTAGTTTTATATCATACATTCAATGTAAAGAGTTAACATATGTGTTGATTTTCTTACAAGTAAAAATAGTAAGGAGAAAGTAAAGTGTTTTATTTTTGACATTAGGAATAATATACAGAAACTTTGTATAAATAAACACAATTGAAACTACAAATTTTCTAAGCGTTAAATATTTGTATTGTTTAACAATAACACTATTCAAAATACCAGCTCTAGAATGAAATGATATCTCAGCTTTTTTTTGCAGTTTTATTCTGAACTCATTACTTTAATTTATATATAAAAAAAAAGTCGACTCTCTTACATAAGAAATATTGGGATAGTTGTTGTTCTTGGAGTGCATATACTTTTCATTTCAGATGGATCAATCTGTGAGATTGAATCAGTCTTTGTCATTTGATACAGATTGCTTCTATCACATGTTTTAGTTGATGTAAAGTATACAGGATTAAATTGGATTGAATCATATTTATTCTGAATGAAATCACAAAATCAAAATGGGAGAGTGCATGCTGTGCATTCTTGCCATACATACAATCTTGCAAAATTGTCTCTTAATACTTATTTTTTCATATCAGTTTACAAGATATTTTAATAATGATGTTTTTACTTACATTTATAAGTTTTAAATACTCTTTATTTTGACAGTTAAGCATATTTGCTCTCAACTATAAGCTTGACTTTAACCATGGAGGTTGCAATCTTTAATCTATTTTATCCAATCCAAATGATCCTGCCCTCCACTCAGATTAGTTTGATCACGATCCAGTTGATCCTAGATGGCATTTGTATACATGGATAGAGATTGATCAGATCTCTATAGTTCATTTGTATAGATTGTTTGAACAATCAGAGTAATCAGTTTGATTCCAAACATATATGCACCCTTGTCCTAATTCAAAAATTGCTGCAGCAACACTATTAGAATTTCCAGTACATAAATTTGAAAAAAGTTAACCAAAGCTTGAATGACATCTCAGCATTAAGAATTTCTCATAAAAATCATCATTCTATGAAATTCTATATGGTTTTTCCAAGTCAAACCAGTAAATACTCAAATACATCTCTGTAAAAGTGTAAAATTGATTACTTACTGTTTATTGTATTTTTGCTACATGCTACATATTAAGATATACTATACTCAAAATATTTTTTCAGTTTATTGATATCTGTTACACTGGTGTTTGAATGTATTTGCAAATTGTTTAACTCTCTTTCAAATAATCTTTTTCTTACCAAAAGACTGGAACAGTAACAAATTCCTGGAAGTATAAAACATTCTCTTTGTAAGGGACTAGCTTCAAATGGGACAATAATAATTTTAGTGAATAATCCACAAATTTGTGAATTGAAATAATTCTAGAAAATGACATTTCTAAATATTCATTATGTGGCTTTTGAAAAATTTTTTTTTTTTAAGAGAGATGATGGATTGACAAAGAATCTGAACTAATAGCATTACTGCATAATTTTTGAATTAGAACAAGAAGTATCCCAAATACAATAAAGCTGTTATTGAATCTTGAGAAAGGTTTTTTTTCTTCAAAAAAAATAAGCAAAATTTTTAATATGAATGAGTTTTTGATTGAAATACAAAAAAATTCTACAATATTTTTAATGCAGTTTGCAAAATAAAATTCTGATTATTACGAAAACTAACTTTTACTTTTTTTTTTAACTATTATCCACACTTTAAAAAATCTGACAATCTATACATTTTTCATCCCCTGGAAACATATTTGCAGGAAAAAAAATGTAGACAATATTGCCATATTTTCACAGGAAAAATGTATTTAAAGTTTTATTTAAAAAATTCAGTTTGGTTTGTGGGCACTTTTTGCATGCTTATCCGACTAGGACCTTTCTTTTGCTCCTACTGATAGATTCATTTTGTCTATCAATTTTGCATTTTTCCAATCCATGTATATGTTACCGCTAAAGCTCGAAATCCGTTAATGTGTACATTACCTAGCTAATCTGCAGATTAACTAGGGTGATCCGTTAAAGCTGCGAAAATTGTTCAATTTCTCAGATTACCTAGGTAATTTGCAGAGTATCTAGGTAATCTGCACATTAACGGCTTCCGTATCGTTAAAGTTCAAAAGTTTGTTTCTTTCACTTCCTTTCCCCACTCCTTTTTACGTAGATAAATTTAAATCCTAGAATGCAAGCAAGCACCGAATTGGTGAGTAAAATCAAGAAAAGATTCTTCGCAAACCTCTTTAGCGAAGATTTAAAATATAATACGTAGTGTTTTAATAACAAACCAAAGTATGATTCCATAATTGAAGATGTAAAGCAAATAAAAGTTTCCAAGAAGAAAGAATCATCTCGAGATTATCAAATAATTCAAAGGTGTGATGTGTTGACTGTACGAGGCTGTGAAAAACTCATTGAGCCGTTGTCAGATGCGCGAGAAAGGTTTGAAAAAGTTTGTCCATGCCGGAGAATTGTTTGACATTCGATAAAAACTGAAGAAGACCTTGAAAAATTAGAAGATTCACAAGAGACTGTGATTATGAGATCACAGTCAAATCTTACTCAAGAGGACATTCCGTTATCCCCCGCTTCTACAGAATCACCTATAGAAATACAAGAATTTACCGATAGTAATCTTAAACTGCCTTCTATACCGTTGATTGATGATGCAGTCACGAAGAATATTCAGTTACCCTGCACCTCCAAGGAATCGCCTCTGCAAGTTGAAGAAGTCATCACTGAGTTACTCTCAACTTCAGCAGAATCGCCATCACAGTTTCGTACGGAGCCTGTAAAGAGCACTATACAAGACATAGTCTGTATTGTTTGCTCAAAAGCAGCATCAAGTGCTCACAAGTGTAAATCGTGTAATATGTTTGTTCACGCAGTTTGTGGTGAAGTAGATCCTAAAGAGGAAGGGTATGGTAAGAATGTATTGTGCATCATCTGTAAAAAGAATATGGATCAGAAAATACAGCGTGATGAAGCCAAGAAATGTTTAGAAAAGCAAGCAAAGAAAATGTTAGCAGTTTCTAATGCAAAGCACCCAAACGTCGATGAAGGTTTCGCTGTGAGAATTAAAGTACCCGAAGAAGACAGAGCAAAAACTGATGCACGTTCAATTTTAGCTGTGGTTCTTAGTAAAACAGAGGATGGCTTTTATAAACTTGATACTAAAACAGGTATTTTAAAACAATTGTATGCAAAATCTGAATTCAGTGTTTGCAAAGAGAGATTTTTAACGAAAGAAGATGGATGTCCCTGCTGTAGAAATATCTTTACGTCAAACAGCAATAAAACAATCCCTTGGTACTGGGCAGGGTTTCAGAAAATGTGACTGCAAATCTAAATGTACCACAAATAGGCGTGCTTGTCGCAAAAACCAATTGCTACGTAATTCAAAGTGTCACCAATCTTTAGATTGCACTAATAAGTAAGTACAATTTTATCATATGTTTTGCAAATTCATTTCCCTAATTGTAGTAATATTTTAAACCGTTTGATTTTTGTATTAAAGTTTTTTTAATTGATTGATGATTGATTCAATCAACTAATTTGTTGATTGTATTAACTTGATTCTTTAGATATTGAAAATTAAATAAATAACATTATGTTAATTTAAGCGTACAGAAACGTTGCTGTTGTTCCAGCAAAAATCTTATTTTCACTTTACCGAGTGCCTAGTAGGTAATTTGCAGATTACCTAGATAATCTGAACATTACCTAGGTAATTTGAGAAATGGAATAATTTTCGCAGCTTTAACGGATCACCCTAGTTAATCTGCAGATTAGCTAGGTAATGCGCACATTAACGGATTTCGAGCTTTAGCGGTAACATATATCTTTTTATTAAATGCATAATCAAGTATAGATATTTTTATCATCATTTTGAAGGTTCCTTATTATATTCTCTAATTTGTTTTCATAGTAAATATGTGGTAGCTTCTATGTAATAATTGCCTATAAATAAATTGGCTGTGCAGATCTCATACACTTGCACAATACATGTATTTGTGTCTTGTTCATCATTAACTTGTTTACTTAGTTTTCTTGTCCTGTTGTTATGTAATTATCTTTTTACCAATACTGAAACAGTTTATATTCTTGTGCCAAAAAATAATTACTAATTTGTTCCACCTGTACTGTAATGTCAGTCAATCTGATACTTATATAATCCTAGTTTACCATATATTTGATCTCTTCAATTATCTGTTATTGCTGAAGTATGCTAGATTTTAACTAGCATTTTTTAAATTTATTTATTCTTCATAATTATCTGATAAATGATTTATACATAATATTTCAATGTATTTTTCACTATTTATTTATTTATTTTTTTTTTTAACTATGTTGATAGCATTACTGCATAATTTTTGAATTAGAACAAAAGAAAGTGTTTTAATTTTACAATATAGAAATTAAAAATTTTTTGTTTTGTTTAAATTAATCTATATAGCAATGTATCAATAACATCTTTCAATTTATTGTATATTTTTAAAAATCAAAATGTTACGCATTAATAGTTTAGATTAGATAGTTTCAGATATATGAAAATTAGATGTAATTTTGTAAAATATATATAAAATTTTCTCTTATTAACAGAAATTTATAAATATATATATTATTCACTACTAAGAAACAAAATGCTTTATTGAAATATATAAGGAAGAAATTTAGTTAGTTTGTTGGGCTGCAATTTAAAAAGTTATAGACCTATAAATTTCCACTGTTGTCCATCTGTCTTTCCTTAATCTCCAGAACATGTCTGTAGTTAGATAGATGAAAGATGAGATCAGGTATGGAAATCTTAGGGGCATGAGGCCTCGATTAACTATATACAAACTTTTAGTTTGCACCAGAAGTGATGTTATTTCAATTCAAAAATTTTTCTCCAGATGTTAGATAGATGACCGACACATCTCTATTGTTAAAGGAGGATGTACAGGAGAAAGACACTACTAATTTCAGGTGGAAAGCATATATTTTAAATTAAAAATATGATTAAAAATTGCATCCCAGCATTGTAATGACATCACAATAAATATTTGTTCATTCTTTATATATTTCAACACAGTTTGAGCAAACAGAATAAAATTTTCCATGGACCATTCTTTCATCCAGGAGAATGTCAATAACTACTTTTGGTTTAATTAATTTAATACCTGTCCACAACAAACCTTTGTATCAGACCAGTAGGGTGGTGGCATTTGAATAGGAAAATTACTTAATACTGTACAAAGCTACAGCAAGCACAAAAATATATTTTGAGAGGTTTTCAAGGCTTCTGAGTTTAAGTATTTGGTCCCTTTTTTGTGAAATTTGATTGGTTGGCCAATTAACACATTCAGCTGTGAAAAGTATATGAATTAACATTAGAAAACTTGAATATCTTAAATTATCATCTTGTACAGGCAAAAGTCAATGACTATTTTCTGTTAAAAAACATTAATTCTTGTTTACCTGATCAGTGAAATTGCACCATTCTATACCATCCAAGTATTGTGACAAACATGACAGCAATAGGCTAAAATAACCAAATTCTTTATATGATTTTCATTTAAATGTTTATTTTGTTACTTTTTGTCTGGGTGGCATTGGACATATCTGTTAGTTCTCTATATTGTTAACTGTTTAACCTTTGGACTTTACATGAACATGTATGTAGATTACTAAAGACATATATATATATTTAAACTGACTTTGCTAAGGAAAATAAATATTAGCTGAAATATTGATTTTGAAACTTTATTTTCCTGAAAAAAGCAAAATTAATTGCATTTTTACCTGCAATTATATTGGATTATCTTCAATTAAGATAAAACAATTGAAACATCTGATACAGATGTAAGTTAAAATATAATTTCTTTTAAATGGGATTATGAAGCCACATTTCAGTTTATAGTAATAAAAATGAATACTTTATTTTTATTTGTTTAATGCAGATTATGTAAATAGATTTTAAAATAAAAATGATTTATAAATAAATATATTATATTTTTAAAATACTGTATGTAGATCTATACTGGTATGTCAGAATCTTCAATGGAAAATCTACAAATAAAAATAAAAGAGAAAATGATTAATATATTTCCAGTTTAAGTTTACATATTTATTTTGTATCAGTTATAAATTAAATATTATTAATAGATAATGATGCTATGTTGTTAAATTTTATGTAAGAATAGAAGAATAGGATTTGAATTTTAAGTCTGTAAATTCTATTTGCAAGCAAAACATTTAAAGCTATATTTTTAATTTTGATCTATGGCCCTGATAATTTTACAGTTACTACAACAAAAATAATAGCATTCTAAACCAGTTCAAAGCTCATTAAATTACTAAGGTCTGATGATTAAATGATGAACATTCTGAAAATGTTAACCATTCATTTAATTAAAAGGATATTTTCTGGCTTCTTGAGAACTTAAATATTTCTTCAGCTAAACAGTTTTCATCTGGGATACAGTAATCTTTTATTAAAATTAAAGTATAAACTTTTTTAGTAAATTTATTCATATAAAATATTAATGATATGTAAAGTCAGTTTTATGTAAAATTGTTAAATTTTAAAGATTATCTTTAAGTTAAAAATTCTATCGTTATCTTCAGTGTATATTTATTTGTTTAGATATTCTAAAAATGGAGAGAATATTCTCAAAATATTTCATGTTTAAATTAACTTTCAACTTCTTAAAAAAATTGCTTTATGTCTGTTTTAGCCATTAAATATTTAAACAAAATTTCTAACGTAAATACTTAAACAAAATATTAGGATTATCTTCTATTAAATAAATTGTGTAATTATTACATAACAAGAGGTTGATTTTTAAATTAAAAAGGGCAAGTTTTATAAGATTTTAGATAATTTATATTAATTTATACTTTGAGAAAATTATTATTATAATTAATGATTCATAAAATGTCACTCAGTAGAACAGTTACTATTGGTCGGCACCATTTTTATAACATATCATCTAATGCATTCTAATTAACTAGAATTTTATTTTCAACATTTATTTATTATGCATGAATCTAACTTAATTAAAAATAATCACACTTTTGATAATTTGTGTAATTAAATATTTTTATAATCTGTTGAATTTCTTTTATATTAAAAATATTCGAGTAATTAAATGATTTTTCTTTTAGAATTTCGGGATTGTTTTTATCTGAATGCGCACAGCGGGCAAATACGAAGTCTTGACGAATTAACTATAATAATGAGATCTGTTGGAATGAGTCCCACAATTACAGAACTGAAAAAATATTTTAAAGAAAAAAGTAAATCTTTTCATTTCTTGTGGTACTTAAATAAATAATAGAAATCCATTTCAATCACATTTTCTATTTTAAATTATAAATAGTAAATATATAAATATGTTTTAGATGGAAAAATATCTTTTGCTGACTTTTTGGAAATTATGCATGTACATAGTCAGAAAGAAAACACTCCACATGAAATTTTAATGGCCTTTAGAGCCAGTGATAAAGGAAGAACCGGTCAAGTTCTAGCCAGAGATTTACGTCGTATCCTTATCAACTGGGGTGAAAAACTCAGTCCAAGAGAAGGTAAACTTTTATATTAAAGTTTGTATTCTGTTACATAAAAGAAATTGTCACTGTTTTTAATGGTTCAACTAAATTATTTAATATCTTATTTATTTTTTAGTTGATCATATTCTTCGAGAAGCAAACGTAACTCCTAATGGATATGTAAAGTATGAAGATTTTATTCGTGTTGTATCTGCTCCGGTTCCAGATTATTACTGAATGAATATTATAGAATTTAATTATACAGCTGTATCTCTTAGGGTGAATGGTTTTTTCAATATTTTTATATTAAATCAAATATTTTATAAATTATAAAAAGTTAATTTAAAACAACAAATGTGTGATAGATAAAAATCATTCCGTTGTTAATTTTTAATAAAAAAAAGTATTTTTTTATATTTTTAAAGATATAAATAAAGTTTTTAATTTGAAATGTTTTGAAATTTATTTCAAAATTAAAATTAGTATTGAACAATGAAAGATTTTACATGACAAATGATGTAGAAGAACAATAATTTAATCTATTTATTCTTAAAATAGTTTTCATTGAATATTTATATAAAATATAACTTTTTATAATTTATATAAGTATTCAATTGACTAGCTTTTAAAATAGGAAATAAAAGCGATTGTGATTAGCAAATCGCCAAATGATACTTGAACAGTCAAGCATTAAATTAATGGACACAAGGTCATTGGAGTGTTTCTCTACATTAACAATTGTTCAATTAAACTTATCAAATGAAAGCAATCTAGTGAAATTTTTGAAAGTAATTCATTTAGTGATTTTTTTTAATAGTAATTCTTTACATGACTTAAAAAGTAAACCTCCAGATTTTTTTAGTGTTTTAATATGAATGAATCTTTAAATGATAGAATAATTGCAAAAATTTGCATTATTTTTTAATATATAATTATAGATAGATAAAATGTAATAAAAATGTCATTATCAATTTTCTTAAATTACAGATGGATGTTTTTTTAAATTAATAATGAAATCTGATTAAACTGTATAATTCAAAAGATAATTTGTAAAAATTAAGTAGGATTGATAAGATTTGCTTAAGATGTTTAAATTTGTGACAAATTTGTGTTTGTGTCTGACAAATTTAATTTAAATCATTAATAACTGTAATAAATTTTATCTTTTCTTTCTAATTGTTGAAGTTTTTCTAATTTGTAGATATAACAACGGCTAAAAGCTTGAATAAAAAACTATAAGAAGAGATAACATAATCTTTTCTGCTGTGGTGTAAATATGGAAGCAATCTTCATGGTTGCTTTCAGAATTGAAATTATTATTTTTCAATGATAATGAATTTGGATATTGTTATTTATTACAAATAGCTGTTTCAAAATTTCTTATAATTACTATTAAAAAACATATTTACATCTTTTGTTTTCTTACTTATATTCTCTTTTTTCTAAACATCTACATTTAAAAAATACAGAGTACATTTTAGTAATGATGACAAACTAAAAATTTAATTGTTTCAAATATTTTCTTTAATCTAAAACAAAATTTAAAGAGTATTATAATGTACACTTTCCTATAATTTAACTTGTCATCAGATGTTTTAGATAATATCAGATATTTGATTATACAATATAATATATGCAGTAATTTGCATATTTTGATATCAGCATTAAGTTTGATCATTCTTTGTGTTTTAAAATGTAATTTAATCAGATGATACTAAACTTTTAAAAAATTTATCTGATGTTTCTAATAAATATTCTTTAGTTATAAAGTAATGTTAAATAAATTTTAAATTTTTTCATTTGCACAGTGGACAACAATGTTTTGTAATAAATTTATTTCAAAAAAATAAATAAAACATTGCTATTAAGACAATTAAAAACAAATTATTTATTTGTTTGTGTATGGCAACAATTTTTGGGTGATCTGCCAAGGAAAGATGCCTCTCTAGAGAACTTTCTTTGGGAAACTGGCCACTATTTAGTTGTTACAAACATGAAGAAAACTTGGAAAACTCCATGTGGCTGCCAACCCATTGTGATCCCAAAATCAACTACCAGTGTTTGATAGTTTCATCCACTTGGCCACTGGAGGGCATTCATATATTCAGTATTATATTTAATTTTAATTCTAAATTATGAAACATTATAAACTTCATTTAAATCTCTATATAATTATTTTAATAGTTAGGAATTTTACTTAATTTATTTACGAATAGAAAAAAACTGTACAAAATTAGACAATAAATTAAAAATATTAAATTTTCTATAGAATTGAAAAGCATTCTTTTTCAAATAATTACATAATTAAACTTTCTCTCTTCAGATAAAACAAAAATTGAAAATTGACAACAATGATTAANTTTAATCTGGCAGTCATTTGGCTTATAAAGGTAATAGATAGCTATTAAGAGATTTTGATCTTTTCATTCAATTTTTAATTCAATTTCCTACAATAGTAAATAAAGGTAATAGATAGCTATTAAGAGATTTTGATCTTTTCATTCAATTTTTAATTCAATTTCCTACAATAGTAAGGAATATGAATTAAAAATTATTAAAACATTAATAGAAACATTTAGTTTTATATCATACATTCAATGTAAAGAGTTAACATATGTGTTGATTTTCTTACAAGTAAAAATAGTAAGGAGAAAGTAAAGTGTTTTATTTTTGACATTAGGAATAATATACAGAAACTTTGTATAAATAAACACAATTGAAACTACAAATTTTCTAAGCGTTAAATATTTGTATTGTTTAACAATAACACTATTCAAAATACCAGCTCTAGAATGAAATGATATCTCAGCTTTTTTTTGCAGTTTTATTCTGAACTCATTACTTTAATTTATATATAAAAAAAAAGTCGACTCTCTTACATAAGAAATTATAAAACACCATGTTAATGAGAAAAAAATCTATTGTTGCCATGATATATTACAAAAGACAAGGTGTTAATTCCTGTAGTTCATAAAAAAAATTTACATATGTAACCTGTCATTGATTATACATATCACTCGTCCAAATAATAGCGTTAATTGAATCAGTCAAGATTAGAGAAATGAGAGAATATGTCAAAATGTGATTGATGCAATTAAAGCTTACCAAAGTATTGGAATTTAATTAAAGAAAACACCTTATTTACACCCTAAACGGAACAAGGACACTGTTATTGTTTCTTAAATATTCTTAATAGAAATCACCTGACTGCCCTTGAATTCTTTATAGAAGGCGATATTCAAGGGCAGATGCCTTATATACATCATCAAATGAGCCAAGGACGGAAAATGGGGATGAACGAGACCTTGGCATTGGACCTGGGCGTTGGATCACTTTCCACGATCACGAAACAGCCATCTCTTTATGGGAACAACTCCAAATTAAAAATAAATAAATTCGCATATTTCTTTCATAATTATAACTTATTATATTATAGCAAATAATTTCAGAAAACAAAAGTTTTTAGTTGAAAATTATTTACGCTCTAACAATACATCAGACGGACCATGACCATTTTTAATGGCATCAAATGCCATTGGTTAAAATCGACGTGTCAACGCTGCGTGATTTTTCATAATTGCTACTATGCATATATATTTACACACTATTATACTAATAAATGTATTTCTTATCCATGCATATTAATAGGTAAGTTCTAAATTTTATATATAAGCTGTATTCCAATCATTATTTCCAGGCATATTTTAAAATTTATATACATTAAAACAAATTCATTTGTAAAGTAAATGTGAGAAGTCATTTAGATTTAACTGCCTTTTTGACTTTTAACATTTATAAATGTATTGAGGACTAATTTGCACATTTATCTCTAATGTTTCTTGTTTTATGTATGAATTAGCATTTTTACATGGCTATAATTTAGTATTACGACGCCCACTTGTTGATAAAGCGCTGCCAAATTCTTAATTATAAAGGTGGAACCGTTTCATTATGAAATTCGACACAATTTTCAAACAACACCCATAAAATTCTACAATTCTTCGAAGATTTACCTGAACATTTGACATTCAAGTGAACTTCCAGATGGTTTTTGCTTTCGTGAAACATTAATAAAGATGAAATTAATAGCAAAAGTTATCGCCAAATTTCTTCAAACCATGAAGATTTTTGAGGGTAAAGGAGAAAAACAGATTTAAAAACTGGGTTGCTTGATAAATATACATAAAATTTGTTCGAATTATAATTAACTATAACAAAATTTAATTAGTAATTTTATCTTTTATGGTTACTGAATAAGGAATAATTAATAATTTCGATTTTAAAGGTGGGCAATACTGAAATGACCATCAGTTTATACGTTCTAGAAGTTTTGTATGTGTATCGTGAATTGAAAATTCATATTGGTAATAGGAATATAGAATAAAAACTGGATAACCTTAATAATGTAAACAATTCATAAATATATTAACTTTGCTTCCAGTTTGGTGCAATTCAGATTTTTTAATGTTTCATATTTTTTCTAAAATTGTGTTAAATTACGAACGAACGAGATAAATATTGATATAAAATAACAATAATTAAATGGAATCGGAGACAAGATCACGGAGAAATAGAACCGTATCTAAGGCAGAATTGTGCAATATTTTTAATCAAATGGTGATAAAATTAGACAAATTAATTTGTGAATATAATCATCGTACAATATATGTTAATTACAGGTTAAGGAAATAATATAAATTACTAATTATAAGGGTTTGAAAAAGTATGAACCTAAAACAAGTCAGTAAATTTAAAAAACAAATTAAGGTAATTACTATATGTTAATTTTTTTAATAATAATCTTAAAGATAGTGAAAAGTCTAAGAATTGTTACTTGTGTTACTCATGTGTATAAAAAATCTTGTCAACGAGGTATACTCCTAATAGTTAAATATATATTATTATTATTATTATTCATAACGTTATGGATATTATGAAAAATGATAATTTTTACAATGTTTATTTTCTTAAAATCAGAAATTTTAAGATGTAATCAATTAGAAATATTATTTTCATTTGATTTGATATTGTTCTACAGGGTATTGTGAGCAGAATTGCTTTAATAATAAATTATGTTAAAGTAATTTTGTGAAAAATAGATCTTTGCTAGAATAAAAATACTTCTAGATCCAGTTTAATTTGTAGAAAATTTAACGTATGTAAAGATGAAAAGAGACATAAACTATCAAAGTAGAAGTTTTAATTCCTTCAGCAGACAAAACGAAGTTAAAATGATGTAGTGCCAAAGAGTTCTTCTATCTTTATAATCTGTTTGAAGCACTTAATTGGAAGAATTTAACAGAAACCACGTCATTTCAATGTGACGAATATAACTTAGATTCGGTCATCGAATTTTCGAATAAATTAATTTAGACTCGCAACAATTTATTT